ATGCTACTGTGTGTCCAAACTGTTTTAGGCCCTGAGGCTACAACAGCCAACAAAACAGACCACATCCCTGGCCTTGTGGAGCTGATGTTCCGACCACAAATGAGTGAACAATCAAAAGATGATTTCTGGAACTTCCCTGGTGGTCCAGTGGTTAGGACTCTGCGGTTTCACTTCTGAGGTTGCGGGTTCCATCCTTGCTTGGGGAACTAAGATCCCACAAACTGTGCGGTGTGACCAAAAAAAAAAAAAAAAGATGATTCCTGAATGTGATAAACGCAGCCACTTTGTCACACTGACCAAATCACCTCAGTCGGACTCCACACATTAGACCTGCTGAAAGGCACCTGGGAGGGATCTTGCCGAGTCATTTTTAAAGTTTACGATAGTGAGACTTTTTGATGCTTTCGAACTGTAGTGCCAAAGAAGACTCTTGAGAGTCCCTTGGACAGCCAGGAGGTCAAACCAGTCAATCCTAAAGGACATAAACCCTGAATATTCATTGAAAGGACTGATGCTGACGCTCCAATACTTTGGCCACCTGATGTGAAGAGCCAACTCATTGGAAAAGACCTTGATGCTGGGCAAGATTGAGGGCAAGAGAAGGAACGACAGAGGATGAGATAGTTGGATGGCATCATCGACTCAATGGACATGAGTTTGAACAAACTCCAGGAGACAGTGAAGGACAGGGAGGCCTGGCGTGCGGCAGACCATAGAGCTGCAAAGAGTCGGACATGACCGAGCAACTGAATAATAACAACATTAGTGAGAGGCAGAACCTCTATTTAAAGGGCATCTTCTTTGTTGAGGGACTGTGTAGGGGGCTCCTCAGGACAATGAAACCCTTACCCAGCCATACCCAGAGCGTTGGCTGCAGTGGAAACAACCACCCACAAAAAGTACAGAGCTGGATGAGATGCAAGCTGTGTTTCTCACCTGGAGCAGGATGTGGCCAGGGGTTAAATGAGAAGGAGTCTGTGGTGTGGTTGTCACAGTGGAGAGTAATTAAGTCCAGTGCTCTCCTCTGTATTTGCAATTATGCTTGCACGTGTGCATGTGCACACACACCTAAACACACACTTTGCCTCTTCTGAAGGGATGGCATAGGTAGATTTGTCTCCTGTCTTTCAGCCACAGCTGATGGGTCCATGGTAAGAAATCTGACTGAGGCTGGACCAGTGGCCTGCCTTCACTGGGCATTTGGGGTGGATAGTTGAGAGACTGGATCAGTGGGGAGACAGGCAGTAAAGAAGCAGGGCCTAGATGTGGCCGAGTGATGTGGTTGGCAGGCACCTGGAGGGAAGGGCCATAGATTGCCCCTTGAGGTTTGCAAGCTTTCCTGAGACTTTCCTCTAGCCTCCCTGCAATGCCCTTTCATTGCTGTTTAGCTGCGAAGTCGTGCCAGACTCTTTGGGACCCCATGGACTGTAGCCCACCAGACTTCTGTGTCCATGGCATTTCCCAGGCAAGAATACTGAAGTGGGTTGCCATTTCCTCCTCCAGGGGATCTTCCCAACCCAAGGATCAAACTCATGTCTCCTGCATTGGTGGGCAGATTCTTTACCACTGAACCACAGGGAAACCCCTTGGGTAACCTTGAATAATGGAAAGATTGGAATGAGTTTCTACTCCCCACAATTCAGTCACAATCACAGAATCAAAAGAAAATGCTGGGTAAATAAAACCATACAAGTTTCTTGACTGTAGGATTTTTCAGAGCTTTTAATATGTCCATATATACTGTGACTTTCTCCAGGGGATCTTCCTGACCCAGGGATCAAACCTGGGTCTCCTGCATTGCAGGCAGACCCTTTATTAGCTGAGCCACCAGGGAAGCCCATGCAGTGACTTTCCAAGGTGGGGCCAAGGTCTGTGATATTTCCAGATCTCATGAGATATGCCTCACCTGACTCATACTCTGCAGAGCAACCCTTTGGGGAGTGCTAATCCACATGCATGGACTTGTACTTGCCATACAGGTGAAGGAATTAAATCACAGAGAGGAAGCATCAGCTTCCCAAGGTCACACAGCTGGTTAATTGCAGAAAAGGTCCTGGCACCTAAGACCTCCCAGTGTTCCTCCCACCACACCCCAGTTGACATAACGCTTCCTTGGACAGATGATGTTATGTGTGGGATTCCTGGTCCAAGGTGGGTGGTGGAAGGCAGGTCCAGTATAGACACGAGGGAAAGGGTGGGGTTGAGAACTGAAGGTCAGGCCTTGGGCGGGTGGTAGCCATGGCTTCCGTGGAGTCTGAGAGCCCTACTGATGGCTTGGGGCAGAGCCCGGCTGGACGGCCGCGCCTTGACAGAGCAGCCAGTGGGCCGGCTCCAGCTGCCTCAGCCTCGCGCGCCTTCTCTGACCACAGGCGGACTGAGCAAGGGAGGAACGCGGGGCCAGTCCTCGGCCGGCCCGCCCAGGCAGCCAGCGCCGGGATGACGCGGCTGTAAATCACCCCGTGGACCACAGACCCAGTGCCATCCCCACGGGTTTCCTTTCCGCTTCTTAATCCTCCTCTTCAGACTCAGTAACAAAAAGCAGATTCCTGCTGGGGCCAGCACGCACTATGGGCTCGGAGAATGTGAGCCCGAGCTCACCACATCAAGATGCTCCCTCCTCTCACTTTTCCTTTTACCCGTGTCTTAGCCTCTGTTAGCCGGAGGACACTCCCTCCTCCTGGCGGGGCTCCCTCGCCCTCCCTGGACCCCACTTCCAGCCTTGCCCCAGCCTCTACCTTGGCCGCCTGCCCATTGGCCGCCCAGGCCTGAGGCTCACCGGGGCCTGTGGTTAGCAGCCCCTCCAGCCTCGTGGTTTGGCTCCAGCCCGGCTCCCCAAGCCTCCCTTTCAGCAGGAGTTGCCTTCGTGTGTTAGGATAAACAGCTCCGATCAGGGTTCAAATGCTGCCAACTCGTAGGTAGCACTTACCTCTGAGATGGGGGGTGTGAGAAGGTTCCCTGGCACGTCGGAGGTGCCTGACAGCTGTTCTGTTCCAAAAATAAGTGCTTAGCTGTTTGTTCAGGGTTGTTGCAAGAAGCCAGAGAGAGGTATTTGGCACCGCTTTGCTAGGGGTTTGCGTGCCCAGTTAAGGGATGGTTGTTCTCCTGAGTGTTCTTAGGTGGACTTGGAGCCCCTCAAGAGCCTCCCCACCAGCTCTGATCTCCCTCCAAAGCTACAGCCCTGGCAGCCCCCACGACCTCTCCCCATCTCCTATCCCTTCCTATAGCAAATCCGACCCTTTGGTCAGTTTTCTCATGAGCAACACCAAGTTCAGTGGCCAGAGTGAAGTTTCTGAAGGTCAGGACTACAAGGGACTGAAAGATGGTCTAACCTAAGGGCTTTCCCATTTTCCCCAAAGCACCTGAGTTCTCAGAGACTTCAAGGCTCCACGTTGGAAGGAATACTGTAGACTTTGGGTCCCCTTCTCTCTGTGTCCCGCATCCTCTCCTGATTCAAATAGACCAGAACCATGCTTATCTGTTTTCTGCATTAGAATTTCAAGGTCAGACTTTATTACTATTTTATTTCCACTAGATGAAGACACTGTCATTTTATAGATAAGAATGCAGGCCTAGCTGGCGGGGGGATGGGCTGCACCTAGAGTCAGCCTCTTGGCTGCTGGTGTAGTATATTGTCTGAAGGATGTGGGGAGAAGGAGATGTGGATGCCATTCCTGGGGGCAGGGGCAGGGCTGACTCTAACATTCCTTGGAGGTGTAACCTGGGGATTGTAGGTCACACCTGGGTATCAGGACCAGGGGTCCCTGAGCTTCTTCTACCTGCTACACCCCCTCCCATCCCCCAAACCAACTAAATCAGCATGTGTGCTAAGTCGATTCAGTCTTGTCCTACGCTCTGTGACCCCATGGACTGTAGCCCACCAAGCTCCTCTGTCCATGGGATTCTCTAGGCAAGAATACTGGAGTGGGTTGCCATGCCCTCCTCCAGGGGATCTTCCCAACCCAGTGATCAAACCTACATCTCCTGTGTCTCCTGCATTGGCAGGCGGGTTCTTTACCACTAGCACCACCTGGGAAGCCCAACTCAGTCAGCAGTGGCTCTGAAATGCAGTGGGGGTGGGGTGGGGAGTAAGGGGACACTGTGGGCTCTGGGGGGCAGCCAGTCCTGGGTCCAAATGGTGGCTCCATCCCTTACTGAACCTTTCAAGATGCAGTCCCTGCCTGAGCCATATGGGTCCTTCCTGGGGCAGCTATGAGGGTAAGTAAGAGCAGGTGCTACGGGTGCCGGCACCTGGTACAGGCTGGCCTTCTGGAGTTAGGACCAGTGTGTGTGTGTCGGGGGCGGGGGGTGCTTCTGACCATTGGTTGTTTCTTTTCTTTTTTAAAAAATTTATTTAACTGTGTCATGTCTCAGTTGCAGCACGTGGGACCTTTAGTTGTGGCATGTGGGATCTAGTTCCCTGATCAGGGATGGAACCTGGGCCCCTTGCACTGGGAGCAAGGAGTCTCAGCCACTGGACCACCAGGATGTCCCCATTGGTTGTTTCTTTTTGTTTGTTGAGGGATAGTTGATTTACAATATTATATTATTTTCAGTTGTATAATATAGTGAATCAAAATTTTTATAGATTATATTCCATTTAAAGTTATTACAAAATATTGGCTATATTTCCTGTACCATACAATATATCCTTTTAGTTTAGCTATTTTATTTTTTGTCTGTTTCTTAGCTTTATTGTTTTATTTGTATTGGAGTGTGTTTGATGTGGGGGCTTCCCTGGTGGCTCAGTTGGTAAAGAATCTGCCTGCAGTGCAGGAGACTGCCTCTTGTTTTAGCTTCAGGTGTGCGACAAAGTGATTACTTATACATATACCTATTCTTTTTCAGATTCGTTTTCCATATAGGTTATTACGGAGTATTGAGTAGAGTTCCCTGTGCTATACAGTAGGTCCTTGTTGATTATCTATTTTATATATGGTAGCGTATATGTTAATCCTATCCTCCTGATTTATCCTTTTCCTCCCATTGGCTGTTTCTTTCAGGAGTGACCAACCACGGGCCCGCCTGAAGATGCTGCTGTGGGCCCTCTTTCCAAGTCAAGCTTGAGGAGAAGGGGAGCTTGCCAAGTCCAGCCTCGTCTTCCTCTCTAAGATGCCACCGGATGCTCAGACCACCGCCTCTCAGGACAAGAGCTAGCCTGCCTCCCTCTCACCCGCTCCCCACACCCCCACCCCCAGCCACTCTGCGGTGACTTTGCACTTTGCTCTCTGCCTGGTGGGGTGGGGAGAGCAAAGCCTTCGCCTTGCCCGGGCCTGAGGCCCACCGTCCGTCTGGCTGCAGAAATTCATTGCCAAAGATTCAACAGGGACACTGAATAAACTGGGGGTGAGAGGACCCCACAGTGAAAAGCCACACTGTGGCTCTGTGACCTTTGCTCCTCGTGTTGCCCGGGTCCCATCTCAGGCCAAAGACGAATCAACATTTCCACTAGGAACTCATGGAAGAGATGGATGTTTGGTGACTTCAGACCTGACCCGGAACTGTCTTTCTCCACTGGGCCCTGAGCTGGCTGGACACAAGATAAACCTTCTAGGGGCTGTGAGCGGGAGGCTGGAGGCGCCTGTGGGGAGTGGGATCTGAGATCCCGGCCCCTCTCTCCTTCCCACTGGCTGCCCAGGCCTCTGACCTTGATTTTCCATGTTCCCTGGGCCCAGGCTCCTTCTTGGGCCCTCAGCATCATGAGAAGTGAGTGTGTAGGGAGAGCAGCGCCCGCACACCCCACCCCGGGGACTTGCCTCAAGGTGACCTGCCCCCAGCTGGCCTGGCCAGCCACTCCTTGCCAGGGGCCCGCCCTCCTGATGGAACACACAAGATGGTGCCCTGCCTGGAGGCCAATGGTCTGTGACGGTCGTTCCGGGGGGCAGAGGGGAGGAAGGGACCAGGGGAATGGGCCAGTAATGTGGGGAGGAAGGCATGCTCAAAGCCAAGACCTGTTCTTTCCTTGTGCTCACAAGGCCAAAGCTGTTCACATCTGTGCTCAACCATCTGCTTCAAATTGAAGTAAAAGCCCCAATGTGTAAAGAAAACACTTGCTTGTGTTGATGGACTCTGTGGGTGACCAGGACTTTGGCCGGTCAGTCAGGGGGAGGAGAGAGGTTGAGAGTCCTTCAGAAATGAGCAGTGTGTGAATGAGTGTGTGTGTGTGTGTGTGATGGGGTGGGGTGGGGCCCTCGCCATGGGCTTGGCCTGGACTGGTGACGAGGAGGCCAGGTCAGGAACATGTGAGGAGCTTTCTCTGTTTGTGCCTCATTTACTCCATACCGTGATTTTATAATGTGGGCACTGAATTTTTTATCCCGTTGTACATATGAGGAACCTGAGTACAGAAGGAGACAGGGCAGGTCAGCGACAAAGCCAGGTCTCACACAAGGGTGGCCTCACTTCAAAGCCTGTGCTCTTAACACTTTTTCAGCCCCATAAGCCAGTTCTGGCCCAAGGTCTTGGCATGGCTTTTTCCCATCCCTGTGCTGCAGTGGGCCTTGGATGGGACAGTAACAGCCCAGCAGGGGTGGTTGGGTTGTGGTTTAGTCACTCAGACATGTCCAATTCTTGTGACCCCATGGCTCTAGCTCACCAGGCTCCTCTCTCCATGGGATTTCCCAGGCAAGAATACTGGAGTGAGTTGCCATTTCCTTCTCTCGGGGAACTTCCTGATCCAGGGATTGAACCCTGGTCACCTGTGCTGTAGGCGGTCTCCTGCATTGCAGGTGGATTGGGTTCTTTATCAACTGAGTCACCAGGGAAGCCCTCATGGGGATGGGGGAGGGGTAATTAGAAAAGAACTCCAAAAGGAATGTCAGGGTGGAGGGCTGTAGGAGGGGCAGAGGTCTTGAAGGATGAATAGGAGTTTTCTAAGCAGAGGAATGGAAGAAGAACTTTCTATGCAGAGAAGTCTTCAGCCCTCAAAAGAGGTTAGAATCACCTAAGGAGGTTATTAAATATTGACATAAAGTGTTAATGCCAAAGTTCCATCTTCAGAAATTCTGCTATATTGATCTGGGCACTTGGGACTTTTAAAAGCTCCCCAAGTGATTCCAATGTGCAGGCAAGGTGGAGAGTTACTGGATTAAGTGGGGTTAGATCACTGACAAAAAAAGTGATTTAGAATCACTGATGTGGAATACAGGCTGTGCCAAAAATGTGGACATATGTGTGTGTGTGTGTATGTGTGTGTACAAATAGACAAGCAAATAATTGTGATACCATCAGATGACTGTATGAATGTATACACATATATGAGTGACAAGAAGTTCCACGTTTTTTATTTCTTTTCTTTTCTAGCTTTTCCCCCAATACAGCAGCTTTGATTCTTTTGCATGCGCGCACGCACACACACACACACACACTCCTTCTTGAACGCACATGCATGCCCAGATATCCACTGTGTACACCCCCAGGGAAGAAAAATCCATTTCCCATGGATTCACATTTCATTGGCAGCCTTCTCAACAGTTTGTGTAAATAACAGTGCAAGAAGACCCTCACCAAAATAAAAGTGATAAAGAGCCACCTTCCTGGAGCCTTGAGAGCACTTGTCCTGTTTCAGCTGAGAGTGTGGTCACAGGGCCCGCGCAGATTCATTTACACACATACCCTCCATGCTCCATTGTTTGCTCTGGGTCCTGGCCCCACACACCAGGGGTGGCTCAGTCATGGAGGGCGTGTACCCATGTGGGAGGCCATGTGTGTACACACCGTGTCCATGTGTGTACCTCTGGTTCATGCTTGGTTCCTGCAGTGTGCGTGCTTCTTTCTCTCCAAAGGGCAAAACCACAAAGAAGAGCTCTGGAAGTCAGAGATCCCCCCAAGCTCAAGGCTGAGTGTCATCGGGCTCTTCAAAAACAACACACACACAGGCTGCATGCTCCTTCTTGGTTCCAACCTCAGATGGTCCCAGAAGAGAGGTGTAAATTCTGGGGAAGGGGTTCCACAAGTCCCCAGGCCACTTTCTGGGGTCATAGCATGGCCAGGGCCCCTGTGGATTCCATCTCCCCACACAGTCCTTCCTCCCATCCCCATGGCCCACTGTGTGGTCCTGGACTTCCCCAAATCCCCACCACTTCATCATGTCCCATTTCTTTTCCTGATTAATCCACCCACCCATGTCCCCTTCCTCACAAGAAAGTGAGATACAAGAGCTGGTAGGTCCCAGGCGCAGGGAACTGGGCAGCAGAGCTATGAGCAGGGACTGGGTAGGGAGCAAAGGTGCAGACAGGGCTCCGTTGTGCCCAAGATATTGGGCAGAGAGCTGGGTACCACTAACTGGGCTGAGCTGGGGCTGTACTGGGGCTCCCCTGGTGGCTCAGACAGTAAAGAATCTGCCTCCAATGCTAGAGACCTGGATTCGATCCCTGGGTCAGGAAGATCCCCTGGAGAATGTAATGACAACCCATTCTGGTATTTTTGCCTGAAGAATCCCATGGACAGAGGAGCCTGGCAGGGTACACTCCATGGGGTCACAAAGAGTGACTTTGTGTCCACTCAGTCAGACACAACTGAGTGGCTAACATTCAACAACACAAGGGCTGTACTTGGGGGGGGGGGGTCAGTTGGGGGTCCACTAGGGATCTAGAGTAGGGGTTACACTTGCCTCCCACCTTCCACTTGGCTTCCTGAGCTACAAAGTGGCTATTGCCAGCAGCCCCAATGACAAATAACCTAGCCCTCTCAAAGCAAGTCTCTGACATCTCCAAGTGTCTCTTTCAGCAGATTCATGGAGCAACTCTCCTTCTGACTCTCTGCCACCTGCATGGAGGCTTGCTGTCTTCAGGCTCCAGGAGGACAGGGAGGATGGAGGGGGCCTACCTGAGTGAGGTGGGGAGGGAAGGGAGCTGCTGGCTTCACCCTTTGCCCCAAGGATCCTCCCTTCTCACAGTCTCCCCTGGTCTCTTGGACCCCAGACAAGCTGTGTCTGCCTCCCTGAAGCCAGGGACCCCAGGGAACCTGGCTTTAAAAATAACGACTTTGTTTTGCAACTATTTGGGCACATGTCTAATCTCCAGATGGCACTGTGAGTTCCTAGAGGGCAGAGATTAGGTCAATCACATCTCCAAATCCTTGAAAAGGCTTTGTACAATGTATATATCCGTTTCTTTGTTGAATAAATGGATAAAATATGAAAACTATGATAATTTACGCATTTATTTTCTTCCTTCCACAAATAACTACCAAGTAGCTAATTTGTTAAGACCCTGAGAGAACAGGGCGCAGGCCTTTACCAAGGACTCAAAGAAGCTCAAGAAGCTTCCCCGGTGGCTCAGATGGTAAAGAATCTGCTGCAGTGCAGGAGACCCCGGTTCAACCCCTAGGTTGACCCTGAAGAAGGAAATGGCAACACATTCTACTATTCTTGCCTGGGAAATTCCATGCACAGAGGAGCCTGGTGGGCTACAGTCCATGGAGTAGCAAAGAGCAGGACTCCATTGAGCCACTAACACTTTCACTTTTAAAGAGGCTCAAAGGGAGAAGCTCCAGAGCAGAGGGGAGCCCAGGCTTGAGGCTTTTTACTCTTTCTGTGGCTGAGCCTTTGTGCACTCCTGCAAAGAGGAGAGCTTCATAGCACGTGTGCCTGGCCTGCAGGAGGTGCTGAATAAACGTTTATCAAGGTGTGTGGATGGATGAATGAATGAATGCAGCCCCACCCCCACACCCCTCCTCAGGTATCACTAATCAACTGTGGCACTTTGTCTGAAGGGGGGGAGGGGGGGCTCTGAAGCTGCCTGAGCTCAAGACAGTGCTCCAGGCAGTCACTATTAATCAACTGAAGAGATGTGCTTTCTTGGTCATCCCAGTCTTAGGGCCATTCTGGAGTAAACTATGGGTGGGAACCCCTCAGGCCAGCCTCCTGGGGCACCATTGGGATGACATGATGGAGGATATGTCAGGAGGTTGCCTTGCTTATGTCCACAGGGCTATGTGGCCACTCCATGACTGGCCTCCTCTCTATGATCTGTTCCTTGCTGACCCTTCCTCCACTACTGCTAACTGGAGGTGTGTTGCTAAAGTTCCTCCCCCGGGCCCGTCACCTCTAGGCAAAGTCCAGTCTCCTTAGCTGCCCATAGGACTTGCCACAGATGGTCCCATCCCCTCCTCCAGTGACTCCAGTGTCTCCCTAGACTCAGTGACACCTAGTTTGGTCATCTAGGGATGTGGCTGAATCCAGCCCCCAGGTTTTAACAGCCCCTCTTTTTAGCCATGTCTCAGTACCTTTTCTTCTGGCTGTCCCCAAAACACGATTCTTTCTGGACGCTGCTGTTTACTGCTGTGGAAACTGTTCCTTTTTATTTGTTTGTTTTGGCCGTACCTTGCAGCATGCAGGACCTTAGTTCCCCAACCACGGATTGAACTCATGCTTCCTGAAGTGGAAATGCAGAGTTTTGACCACTGAACAGCCGGGGAAGTCCCAGAGACAGTTCCTTTTTAATCTTTCTTCTGTATCTAATCCATCAAGACCCCTGATTCCCCAGAGGGAAATTTAATTCTCTCAACTCCAGAACCTGGGCAGACAGAGAGGACCTGCTTAACCCAACAGCAAGGGCCTGGGTTCAGGTCCCCCCATCCGAAGGCTCATCTTTCCTGCTCATATGTAAATCAGAGCATTGCTTTGCTCCATCTATCTTGGGAAGCCCATTATTGCTCCAGATCTCTGAGGATTCTCTAAGGGCTTATATCCCCATGGTTATCTCTTGAGAGTTGAGAGTTATCTTTGTTGGTTGCCCAGTTGGGTCCAACCCTTTGTGACCCATGGATTGTAGCCTGCCAGGCTCCTCTGTCTGTGGAATTCTCCAGGCAAGAATACTGGAGTGGGTAGCCATGTCCTTCTCCAGGGGATCTTCCCAGGGATTGAACCCAGGTCTCCTGCATTGCAGGCAGATTCTTCACCGGCTGAGCCATGAGGGAAACCCATGGTTCTGTCTCTCCGATCTAATTATCTCTCTCTCAATCACTTCCTATGGCTGATCCCTTCTCTCTACTCTGCTTCAGTTCAGGGGAACACAGCCACTTTCCCTTGATCTCCCCAAAACATCACTCACACAAGGCAGCTGTGTATAGA